GGTAGCATTAGCTTTTGCTTATTTTTATTATTTTTATATAGTAAAGTTGGTTTTTCTGTTTTTCAGGTCATGCATTTGGAAGATTTTAATGAAGGTGCTTTATTTTCTAATTGGACTGAAGGCCCATATCCTCTAGTTATTACTATTATCATGCTAGCACTTAATAGTGTATTCTATGTCTTGTTGGCTGTTTATCTTGATCAAGTCGTTCCAGGTATGCAGGTAGTTACTGGATTTAACTTTAAAGATTTTTAGTTTTTTTGCCTACATAGGGTCAACTTAATTTTTTTTCCAGCCAGAGTACCCAAGTCATATTCATTATTAAACTTATTTAAAATTAAGTTAAGTATAGTACTTTATACCTGTGTATTAACTACTGACTGTAAGGAGATTGTATAAAAAGAGCAGTTTGTTTTGAAAGCCTTCATTCCCTAACTGAACTTCTTAACTTGGTCCTTCCCCTATGTCAGCCTTTTTTGTCTAAAGTGTTTCATTATTTTACCCTTTAAGATCCAAACCTGTGAAGCAATCTTGTATCTCCTACTATTCCTCTAATCTCCTATCTTGCATCTATAGCACTTCTGTAGATTCAAAAATTATTAGATATCCAGTACCCTCTTTACTTTTCCCCTTGAGTTTCTCATTACTTTTGTCTGTGTTCTGGCCGTGCACTGTTCTGTTATATGGTAACTTAACTACTAGGCACATGGTATTTAAAATCTAATTTAGAATTGAATAAATTTACAATTCATTTCTTCAGTAGCACAAACCACATTCCAGGTGCTCAGTAGCAACGTATGGCTGTTACCATGTGGGACAATACAGGTACAGGACATTTCAGTCACTGCAGAAAGTTGTATTGGGCAGCACTAGTCTAGACCGTTGCAATACCTCTCATCTAATTACCCACCACAAGTCTGTCTTTCCATTGAATCAAGTTAATCACCTGCTCAAAAACCTTGGTGGGCACATCCTGGTGAATTAAATAGAAACTTGTTATATAGTAATGTCCTCCACAATACCTTTACATATTTACTCTCCTCACTCTCCTCCTCCTCAGGTATTTATGTATTCATTTGTACGGTCCTATTTACATATTTAAACACATTTCTAGTGTATCAGATTGTTTTTAGCTACTCATAACAGAAAAATCTTTCTAATTGGCTTAAACAAGAAGGAAATCAATTGTTTCACTTAAGAGGAGGTCCAGAGATAGGATGGGCTCCAAGTTGGTTGACTTCCTCAACTGTGTCATCAGGGACCCACTTTGTCCATGCTTTTGCCATTTTTGTCTCAGAATCTGGCAGATTTCCTCTCCTCGTGGTTACAGGGTGCTTTTCTTCTTAGTTCATGTCCAGTGGAAGAGGGAAGGTGAACCTTTCCCTGAATTCAGCCCTTTGCTTCTGCCTGATTGGTTACATACTTATGGTAGGAGCAGTAACAGCCACCAGAGCATGCCAGGGACTGATTAGATCGATTAGAATCTTCTGTGTAATTGGAATCCGATCCCTTTGAAACATGTGGCCATCTAGAAGACTAGTGGATATTTAAAAAAATGGGGCGTGTCGGTCTTTTGGGGGGAAGAGGAGAAAATGGATACATGTCTTGCTGTCTGCCATATCTAAGTCTCCTATTTCTGTCCTGTTTCTGTGTTACTCTCCTAATTCTAAAAATTCTCTGTGAACTATATCCACTTTGCTAAATACTACCTGTTTTCAGAGACTATCTAAGATGATACTCATTCAAGCCTTCAGGATATAACCTTTTGCTCTTCTGAACTCTTATTAGCATTATGCATGATATATATGCCTCATGTTCTGCATTGTGTTTTAGCCACTTGGTATTAATATATATGTGTACTCATAAATGTGTAAGTTCCTTTAGGGCAGAAAATGTGCTTCACTCACATTTACATTCCCATGTACTCTCAGCAACTCTGAAACTACTTATGAACTGAATGATTTGTTAATAAAACTTTTATTTTTTACACAATATTGATTTAGTACTTTATATCTAAACTTTAGATCTAGGTTGTTACGTGTTTTACATGCTGCCTTTATGATTTAAAAATTCATTTTCAGAAATAATTTGTTATAACTCAGATTTCTATTTTTCAGGGGAATTTGGCTTACGGAGATCGTCTTTATATTTTCTGAAGCCATCATATTGGTCAAAGAACAAAAGAAATTATAAGGAGTTACCAGAGGGCAATGTTAATGGGAATATTAGTTTTAGTGAAATTATTGAGCCCGTTTCTTCAGAATTTGTAGGAAAAGAAGCTATAAGGTATGATTTAATCTGGCAATTTAGGTATAAGAACTGATGATGGCATATGCCATATTTAAATCCTATCTTTCAAATAATGTATGTAAGTGTGGTATCTTAGAAGATTTAGTATACATTTCCTGTTTTTTAAGACAGTATTAATAAGGGCTACTTCTCTTTTAAGTTATTTTCTTTGCAATCATTTGGAATAAGGTTGCTGCTAGGTTTGAGATTTTATATCTCAATGAAACAGTAACAAAACCTAGTGTTTACACAATTAAGCTGTTTTAAACTCTTAATTGTTATAGATTAAAACAAATATTAACTTTATAAATTTATTCA